TCCCGGGTTCCCTAGAAGGTTTCTGGGTCTCTCACCTGCCGGAGCCGCCCCCTCACCTGCGGCTCAGGTGCGTCGGTGCACGCGCTGGTGCTGCAGCAGGTTGGAGGGGTGCGCGAAGCCCTTGGCGCACACGCCGCACTTGTAGGGCGTCTCGCCCGTGTGCACCTTCTCGTGCACGGCCAGGTAGGCCAGGTCCTTGAAGAGCTTGTGGCAGTGGGCGCAGCGGTGCGGCCGCGCCGCGCTGTGCACGCGGCGGTGCTGCAGCAGCAGCGAGGGCCGGGCGAACGCCTTGCCGCACGCCTCGCAGCCGTAGGGCCGCTCGCCCGTGTGCGCCCGCCGGTGGACGGCCAGGTAGGAGGACTGCTTGAAGGCCTTGCCGCAGGTGCGGCAGGCGAAGGGCCGCTCGCCCGTGTGCACGCGCTCGTGCGAGGCCAGCGCGTTGCTCTGCTTGAAGGCCTTGCCGCAGAGCGCGCAGCGGAAGGGGCGGTCGCCCGTGTGCACGCGCTCGTGCACCTTCAGCGAGTGGCCGTAGGCGAAGCGCTTCCCGCAGACGCCGCAGGCGTGCCGCTCCTCCCGGCAGCCGCGCCGCCGGTGCAGCAGCAGCGCCGCCGCCGCCGGGAAGTCCTTGCCGCACTCGCCGCACCTGAAGGGCTCCTCGGCCGCCAGGTGGGTCAGGGCGTGGCGGCGCCGCTCGTAGGGCGTCTTGAAGGCTTTGGCGCAGCCGGCGCAGGCGAAGGGGCGCTCGCCGCTGTGGATGCGGCGGTGCTCCTGCAGGTTGGAGGAGCGCTTGAAGCGCTTGCCGCAGAGCTCGCAGCCGTGCGGCCGCTCCTCGCTGTGCACCAGCCCGTGGCTCTTGAAGTCCGAGTGGCGCTTGAAGGTGGCGCGGCACACCTGGCAGGCGAAGGGCCGCGCCTCCGTGTGCACCACCTGGTGGCTCAGCAGCTCCCAGGTGCGCTTGAAGCCCTTGTGGCACACGGGGCACTGGAAGGGCTTCTCGGCCACGATCACCTGGCGGATCTCCAGGTGAGACGGGCCCTCCTCCTCCTCCTCCTCCTCCTCCTCCTCCTCCTGCCCAGGTGCGCCTTGGCGCCGTTCCTCGTCCTCCTCACCTGAGCGCCCGCCCAGCACCAGCTTGGCGGTGGAGTAGACGCCGCGCTCGTCGATGAGCTGCACGAAGGCGCCCGGCTCAGGTGAGGCGGGCGCACCTGGGGGCACCCGTGGGCGCAGGTGAGGGCGGGGCCGGCGCCGCTGGGAGGGGTCGGCCGGGGAGCGGCGCACCTGGACGGGCGCACCTGGCTCGGGGCCCGAGGCGGTGGTGGCTGGGCCCTCACCTGCGTCTTCATCATCTTGATCTTCATCATCACCTGCGTCTTCATCACCTGGATCTTCACCATCACCTGGATCCTCCTCACCTGCGTCTTCATCACCTGGGTCTTCATCATCACCTGGATCCTCCTCACCTGGATCTTCATCATCACCTGGATCCTCCTCACCTGGATCTTCACCATCACCTGGATCCTCCTCACCTGGATCTTCATCATCACTTGGGCCCTCCTCACCTGCGTCTTCATCACCTGGGTCCTCCTCACCTGCATCTTCATCACCTAGGTCTTCATCATCACCTGCAGCTTCATCACCTAGGTCTTCATCATCACCTGCGTCTTCATCATCTGGGTCCTCCTCACCTGCGTCTTCATCACTTGGGTCTTCACCATCACCTTGGTCTTCATCACCTAGATCTTCATCATCACCTGGGTCTTCACCATCACCTGGGTCTTCCTCCTTGCCTGCTTCTTCACCTGTTCCTTCCTCACCTGGCTGCTCCTCCTCCTCCTCGGACAGGTGAGGGATCAGCCGGCCCCGCAGCCCCTCCATGGCCACACCTGGAAAAGTGTGAATGGGACAGGTGGGACAGGTGAGGGACAGGTGGGACAGGTGAGGGACAGGTGGGACAGGTGAGGGACAGGTGAGGGACAGGTGGGACAGGTGAGGGACAGGTGGGACAGGTGGGACAGGTGAGGAACTGGGAACTCCCTTGGGAAATCCCATGAGCCGAATTTGGGATCCCTCGGGAATTCCCTGGGTGGGATTTGGGGATATTTTGAGTCGAATTCGGGGATTCCTTCGGGAATTTGGGATCCCCTCGGGAATTCCCTGGGATGGATTTGGGATCCCTTTGGGAATTCCCTGGGATGGATTTGGGGATCCCTTTGGAAATCTCCGGGAATGGATTTGGGATCCCTTTGGGAATTCCCTGGGTGGGATTTGGGGATTCCCAAATTTGGAATCTCCCCGGAGCGGGATTTGGGATCCCCTCGGGAATTCCCTGAGTGGGATTTGGGATCTCCTCGGGAATTCCCAGGGATGGATTTGGGGATCCCACCCCCCCAGATTTGGGGATCCCCCCGGGAATTCCCTGGGAGGAATTTTGGGATCCCCTCGCGGGCCCCCCGGGCGGAGTCGGGGGATCCGAACAATCCTGGGAACGACCAAAAAAAATTTGGGAATTCCAGAGAATTGGAGCAGTTCAAAAATCCCAAAAATCATCCGGGATCCCAAAATTCCAGGATCCCAATTCCAAAATCATCCGGGATCCCAAAATCTGGGAGCAAAATTTGGGGAATTCCAACGGCTCCGAGGAGCCCCAAAATCCCAAAACGCGGGACTGGAATTTTGGGAATTCTGGTGCCGCTGAGGACGCCCCAAATCCCAAAATCCAGAATTGGAATTTTGGGAATTCCAGCACCATGGAGGCCCAAAATCCCAAAATTTGGGACCAGAATTCTGGGAATTTCGATCCCAAAATCCAGGATTGGAATTTTGGGAATTCTGGTGCCACTGAAAAGGCCCCAAAATCCCAAAATCTGGGAGTGGAACACCAGAATTCTGATGGCTCCAAGGAGGCCCCAAAATTTGGGATTTGGGATTACCCGGGGTGGAATTTGGGATTTGGGAATTCCCTGAGAGGGAATTTGGGATCCCCAAAATTCGGGATTTGGGATCCCC